TGCTTATTATAAGTATTTTTGTCCGTTGCAGGCAATAACAACCAGTCATAAAGAGGCGAAGTAATTGGGATTTTTTTTGTTTATTTCGATATTGTAGTATAACATACCCACGGTCGTTTAAGATTTTCTTCAACTGCAGAGGTAAGATTTTCTTCAACTGTATAACTAACAGTTTAAATGTAGTGCTTGGTAATTAAGTGAATAGACTTGAAGTTAGTTTTGTATTTTCTTTTATTCTAGTAAACATATAAATTTAAGTTTTATAGCAAAATTCGATGAATAGAAAACAATCTCCTCACATAGAAAAATGTATATGTATGTCAATCCCTTGTTAAAAATCCTACAAAATTATTCGCTTAGTTATCTTGGACAACTTCACACATCTACATACACACACAGAAGCGCGCCAAGACAGGTATATCAGTTCGGTTCGGCATTCCCGATAATCGACCTGTCACCGGCTCGAATTGTTTACGGGTGCCACGAATTTTATTCGCTTTTGTTCCGTTGCAAAACCGTCCGTCGATCGAGTCAACCTGACTGGAAAGAATGGAGTAATTCTTTCCGGCCAGGCGTAAATGGAGATACCGCTAGTTCCTAGCCAAATACAAATAGTGATTTGACTTTGCAGAGCGGAATTTTTTGTTCGAATTGTCGAGTTCTTTTTCAAACGATGGAATTTGCATTAGGGACATCTAAAGGTAAGTCTTGGTTTGGTTTGGTTGCATATAATACTTTCTTTTTCATATATTACTTTCTTTGTAGTTGGACCCATTTTAGTCTACTGTTTTTTACTAAAAAGACTTAAATCTTTTAAAAAAATAAGCCTTTTTTTAATGATTTATCTGATAGCGATTGACAGTATTGTTTAGAAAGATATACGAGTAATATGGAATGAAAGCTGGTGTCATCATCCCATTCAACTGTTCCCAGAACATTCTTGAAGAGAACACAGGACCCAGTTCTAATGCAAAAAAGGTAAAAGGTTCAATTTTTGTTATATCTCCGAAACTATTTTAGTTCCGGAAAACTATTTCAGGTTTCATAAAAAGTGGAACTATGTCTCCAAAATCATTTACCCAATAATATACAGGGTGAGTTTCCTACGATGTTCTCTATGGGTATCTCGGAAACCACTGGAGATATTGAGTCGGTTAAATGGGGAAAGTATTGCAGTTTTGTGGGGCCATTCAGATTTGCCTTTCAGATTTTTGAAAAAGTTCATGGCTTCCTAGATATTTCGAAAAAAACAAATTTTGGCTATTTTTAAAATTATCTTTAATTCCATTAAAATCTATTTTAGACAAAAAGTTTTCAGATAAAAGTTGTAGATAATCACATCCTTAATGAGTTTTTGTTCTCCGATTGTTTCTAAAGCCTGCCATTTTTGACATATGACGCAAACATATCTTTTTTAAATGGAAACAATAGTAATTTTTTAAGCTTTTCAGCGATAAAAGCTATAATATGTTTTTTTAAATTACTGAGTTATAGCCAATTCTTATCTTTCTTGATTAATTTCACTTAGTTATAAAAAGACAAAATATATTATTAAAAGACTCTTTACAATTTACACTACACAAATTAAAACTTAAAAAAAATAATGGCAAAACAAACACTTTAAGTTATTTTAGAATATGTTCAAAGAAATCCGCCATTGTTTTGGTTACATAAATGCATCTTTCTATAACTGAATTTCTAGCTATTCTCATAGAACGACCGGTCGACTTAATTAAACTCTTGTACCGCCTCTTCAAGTGCCTCTCTTAATTCATAAGTTCTTTTGTAAACCTTGTTAACCATACCACATAAAAAAAAATCTAAAATGGATAGGTCAGGTGATCTAGGAGGCCCATCCAATTGATCCACCTTTTTCTATCCCTGAGTCTACATAATTATCATATAAATAATTTTTAACATTTCTTTTATTGTGGCGTGGTGGTGTGTCATAATGAAAGTCATGTTGGAACCACCCTGTTAATGTGCGAGTATCTAAAAAAATAAAAGTATAAGTATCTAAAATTTAACTTTTCTGACATGTTCTAAAAAACAAAATCATTCTCTAAAAAACGTAAGTAACGTTCACTGGTCAACGTATCCTAGAAACTGTATGGCCAAGAAAAGTTGAACCAATAATCCTACTCGCTTTTCTTCGTTTGAAAAATTCATATTTACAGTTTTTGTTTATTTTAATTTACAAAGTTTGGATGTGACAGTTTTTGTTTCCATGGCTAACTAAGTTACATTAGTCAAGCAATTGGCTATAGCTCAGTAATTTTGTAAAAAAACATATTATAGTTTATATCGCTGAAAAACTTAAAAAATGGCGCTTTTTATGAAGTCATGGCCAACTATGATTTCCATTTAAAAAAAACATATGTTTGTGTCATATGTCAAAAATGACAGGCTTTAGAAAAAATCGGAGAAGACAAAGTCATTTTTATCTGAAAACTTTTTGTCTTAAATAGATTATAATGGAATTAGGGACAATTTTTAAAATAGCCAAAATTTGTTTTTTTCGAAATATCTAGAAAGCCATGAGCTTTTTCAAAAATTTGAAAGGCGCATATTTATGACCCCACAAAACTGCAATTCTTTCCCCATTTAACCGACTCTCTATCTCCAGTAGTTTCCGAGATACCCATAGAGAACATCGTAGGAAACTCACCCTGTATATAAAAACATTTTTAGAAACCCGTGTCTCCAGTAGTTTCTTAGTAAAAATTAAAATGGAGACCTAGTCCCCTAAGGGGACCAGTGATATAAGTCCCAATGATAGATAGGTTTATGTCTTGGAGCTACTTCAGAAATTCGTCGAAGTTGTTATGTATTAACTTCAAGTCTGTGACAAATTGTTTTTGGAATTAATGAAAGAATAATAAAATCCCAATAAATATAGTAAATTTAAGGTTCACGTGCACATGAGCACGTGATTATTAAAGTATCGCCAATGTATGAAATAGAAACATTGTTTTTATAAAGTTCGATTTCCATCAACTTCATTTTCAATATCAATATTCATCGAGAATTATATACATCTAGTTATTTGATCTATAATTAATAGGAAGCTATAAATTTTTCATATTAATGACAGGATACGTAATGGGATTAAGTCAATTCCAATTCCAAATTGTTGGCGTTCGGAATTAGCATATAGCTGACCTAAGGCGGGTATATATTATTTATGGAAATAACTTGCAAGGATAATACGGCAATCTTTTCAATTTACCGTTAAATTATTAATAAAAGGGAGTCGGGGATATAATACAATATTTTTTTGTTGGTAATCGTTCTGTGTAGATTTTCTTGTACGTATTAAAATTTGATTGGACACTTTTAAAAATGTATTAAGGTATAAGTAGATAATCAATAATTTTATATATAAAAAAATAATGTTCTCCAAATTATTTTGTGGAAACACATTGAATATATAGGGTTTTGCACCAAAACTCCAACCATAGTATAATAAAGACCTATATAAACGCTCAATTTGTGGATATTAGTTTAGTTTTAATCATCTGCTGATGATACTAACATGGTTAGCTAAACGTGTCCTGTGAAAAAAATATGTGTTTTGGTGTATTGTGGTTAAATTGTGTTATATTTTCCATTTTCCTGTTGTAACACCAATATAATTATCCATAAATTAAATTAAAAAAATGATTAAGTTAAAAAAATATATACCGTGTGGTGGCATCGTAACGCGAGACATAGGAAATGTACAGACAAAAATTGTATTAGACTTTTTTTGAGGCGTTAAAGTTGTACTGTCGTCTAAAATTCCGTTTTATTTGGAATAGGCATCTAAAAGTTATTTGCAAAAATGTGCCTTCAAATTACTAAAAATTTATAATACGGCCTAGAGAAAGCTACAAATAAAATACCAGCAAAAATATGATTTTGTTATTGTCAAATTCAATGATACATTTTTTTTGGATTTGTCCCACCACCGGTAGAGTAAAATACTAAAATAAAATAATAAATTTATGAGAAAAAATGTAGTAATTCTGAACAGTATTTAAATATCTTTCGATTTGCAAATGCCATCCTAGTAAGCCACAATTCACTCGCGGCCGCTGTGGAAGGGTCCCATCTTGGACCCACTGTTAATACAAATTCAATTCAGTACATGCCTAGAGAGGACTCTAGGCCCAATCAAATAAAAAGACTATTATATCTAATGCTTTTAACTTAATAAAGAATAATACTTATGTTCAATCGTACGCAACACATTTTTAAAGCGGGAAATCATTATAGCCGAACGCACTGAAGAATGACGGAAAAAGTTTTTGCACAATCATCGACCGATAATTAATACATTTTTTTCTATTTCGTTCGATGAATAGCAGAAAGTATAAAAAAGAGCGAAAAACAATAAAATAAAGTTCTTGGTTAATGACTGACCGTTTTCCGAACACACGAAACGGAGGGAAGGTGTTTTTTTGAAACGCCCGCCTTGCTATTGGTCTGGGTAATTGTTGGACCGGAAAAAAGGATGTTGCGGCTTTTCTTTCTTTGTGTGTCGTGTTTCTTTGTTTTTAATTATCGAAAGTGGAAATACGCATCGGGAATTTTTCTAAATGGACCCAAAACAAACATATATTACCGCTGTCGGTGTCGGGTAATAGACAATTTCTTTTTTTCGTGTTTTTTTTTGTGCTATTGTAGACAGGATGCAAACGTATTTAGAAACACCTTTGTAGCGCGTTTATTTTTCAGTAAAACATTTTTTTTTTCATATATACGGGATTTTTGATTAGACATTGGTTGTCCATTAATCAAGCGTTCTTCCAGCTCTCTGAATGCCATCGCTTGCCTGATTTTATTGTTCCACGACCTTCTTGGTCTACCTCGCTTTCTTCTTTGTGGAGGACCCTACTGAAACAGACGTTTCGGCCATCGATCTTCCGCCATTCTTAATAGATGGCCCAACCACTTGAGACCTCTGATTTCGACTCTGTCTATAATTGTCTCTGGAGCATTCATTCGGTGTCTGATCTCTATATGTTGGTAATTCGGTCCATTTTCGATACAACTGCGCTTCTGAGATAGTCCAATTCGACTGCTGTAAGTCTCCATTTCATTTCGGCTGTTAGAGCCCATACTTCGCAACCATAGCACACCACATATTCAACCAAGATTTGCCCCAGCCGTTTTTTGGTTCTAAGAGTGAGATGCTGATCCCACCACAATGAATTTAAGCATCCCACTACTCTCTTGCCAGCTTGAATGCGGAGTTTAATTTCGTCCTCTCCAATGCCCTGTTTAGTCACGATTGACCCAAAATATTTGAAGTTTGGGTTGACCTGTGTGACCTGAGTATCATCGATAATCAGAACTTCAAAGGCCGCTTCACTATTGACTACTAGAATAAAAACATTTTTCTTTTTCTTGGTAAAGACCGCTAGGAATAATGGCTCTCGAGATATTTTCAATCGAAATTATAAATACCTGTCATCATTGACATAAATTAAACATGTTGACTAAATAGCTATTAGATTTGAAATGATTTTTGGCAAAAGTTCAACAGAAATATTTTATGATCATTTTTTCAAAGAAAAATCTATTTAAAAATATAAAAAAAAGTTCCCAAATTTATCATTTCCGTCAAATAACTATCATCTACTCAACATGTTTATTTTTTGTTAATAATGACATGTATTGACTATTTCTGTTCTAAATATCTTGAGAACGGTTGCTCGTAGCGATTTTTACCAAGAGACCTTTTTTACGTAAAAAATCACGGAAATGTATATTTTTTCACTCAGTAGTTTTATACAGGTACGGATGAAAACATATTACTCTTCATAACAGCTAATATACATGTAGGTTGCGTCCCCTACAAATAGGAGTCATATTGACATCAAAATCAAATTTTCCATGTCAAAGAACGCCCAGACACCAATTTTCATCGAAATATTGACGTTACTTCAGAAATTATTTGGAAAAAATCGAAATAAAAATGAAACTTCTTCACCTTGTATCTCCGAAACTAAGCATTTTAGGACATACATATTTATACGAACTTTTTTACATATTTTTATCTGCAGAATATGCTTCCGAAGTTTCCGTAATGCAGTACGGACCACCCTGTATACCGAGCTTAAAAAATTATACTGTTTATATCAAAACTGACAACTAAGTACTCCTCTTCAATATCCCAGGCCCTAATCCCATCCAATAACATCTAAAACGCATCAATAATACCATCCTCCATCTGGAACCGCCTTAATTGATAAACACCATTTGCAAAACGGAAAGGTTATTAACGTCGATAACTCAAGTGATTTAATCGGCTCGGCAAAAACAATTAAGGAATATATTGTAGTTCGGAATCGAGGCAGAGTCGCGCACAATTACGAACGGCTTACTACGACCGGTGCATCTGGGATCGTACGTAATAGGAATCTGCCAGTGGGTAGGATTATAATACGAGAGTTTATGGCGAGCATCGATCATAGTCAATTAACAGTATTTATTGCGGACGCGATGATTTAATTGGACCCTTTCTCTCTTTATGAAGAGATGCATCCCGGTTTGGTTTTTATTTCTCTGGTTGTTTTAAAGTTGACGCTAAAAGGTGGTGTTAATTAATATACTGGATGAAATACTGGCAAAGGGTAGTAGTGTGTTTTTAAGGAAACTTGCAAATTTAAAAGATATGGGAAAACACGAGTCTCCTTATAGCCTTAGTGCGTTTCAGTTGCTTTCAAAAAATTCCGAACCGCAGCGCTGTATACGGCAGAAGTCAGAAATGTTTGCTATCTACAGGTCACGTTGATCCCATAAAAATAATATTGAAATCGTGGCTTTGTCATAATATTTAAGTGTATGAGTTTTTTGCTAGTGCAGTTATTGAGACTATAAACACTCGTGATTTGTGTGATATAACGCTGTTTCAGGTAGTAAAAAATAAGTGAAAAAGAATACGAACTAGGCATCGTGTTGTGTTGTGACAATTTCAAATTTTAATAAAATTGCCAAAAAATGTTTAACGAACTTTTGTGTGAAACTACCCCTAGGTTTAAATTTAGATTAGATTTAAAGTAGAAATCAAGAACCTGGAAGACTCCATCCGTATTGAATGGGAATCCTCCAACGGTCTGAGGCTAAGAACATAGTGGAGCGACGAGGATAGCGGCGAGCAAGCCTCGAGATGCTAAAACATAGTAGAGCGGCGAGATGCTTGTGCAAATTTATTATCTTCCTTTGCTTATTGATAATTTAAAATGTTAACAGTGGCTAAAATTCTGGGCAGTAGTGTCAACATTTTGGTTAGATGAAATTTTCAAAAACCGAAGAAAGTGTGGCAAGTTTTATAACCTTTACAAAAATTGTTTGCCACTTCATCTCATAATTTATCTAAAATGTACTGGTTCTAAATCTCTCTTACAAATACTAAATCTATTAATTTTTGGGAATCTATCATTTTTTACAGCGCGACAGAGCGACGAAAACAAAATTATTTGAATCGATGTCGCCGCTCGATCTAACCACTCGAGCAGAAAGCTTCACTATGTTCGCACGTACTTGTCTTCACAGGTTTGTTTTGGACGAAATATTGCGCTGCTTGCTCGCTGCTATCCTCGTCGCTTCACTATGTTCTTAGCCTAAGACACTCGAAGACATTTCTCAATACTTACGACCGAGAAAAATCAAAGACTTTCCTGGATTTGGGCAAGATCAATCTTTGGATTGTTACGGGGTTTTAAAATGGACACCCTGTGAGCATTTGATTCCTTTAAGGGAAATGTGTTCTAGGTGACGACGCGACGTCGTTGTTACGTTACCAGGCCCATCTTTTGCTTGATATGAAGCAATAAAACGCAGATACGTAATTATTCCCTAATCTTTCCTAAATGTGACAAACCTTTGCTCACTGGGCAATGTCTCCTCAATGAATACTTCAGTAGATTGAGGCTAAGAAACAACGGCCAATGCAGATTCTGTGGGGAAAATGGGGAAACACCAGAACATCTCATCACTGAGTACGCCGAAACGACAACCATTCGTGCAAAAAACGTACGCCGAAACGACAACCAACGACAACCAACCACAAACTTTGGTACGACTGATATCAGAGATGTAGAACTAACCTCTGTAAATCCGTCTCAGATACTGGCTTTTATCAAAGCTATGAGACTGTATTATGAGTTATAACTCAAAAAAGGGGGTTATAACTCACAATAGATCTATAAGGTCGCTGTGATTAACTTCCTCTCTCCCATAGAATGTAATTTAAACTATCCCTTACATTAATGGAAAAGTACCATTTTAGAATAATTACTGATTTTTTACATTTATCACCGCTTACTTTGGCATTAAAATGAGTACAAGAATACCAAAATTCAAAGAAAATAGTTTACCGATGTACTTAAAAATAAAAAATTATTATTTTTAACTGCCCTTTAAAGGGTAGATAACACCCACTCTTCCACATACACAAGGCTACACTATTTTTTTACAACACCTTTATGATAAATATCATGAAAAACTTAATAATTTAAGAATACCTCGAACATTGGCGTAACTACAGGGGGGCATAGGGGTGCCGGAGTGGTATTGTTGGGCACCCCAAAGAGAAATCTTGAATTTTGACTGAATTATGACTCTTAGCTAAATATTAATTTTTATTTGCTTCTGATGTAGGAAAAATATCTTTTTCTAGTTTTTGTTCAGTTAATATTATTTTGTTTGGTTAAAAAATGTGCGTTAGGTTTATTTTTTACAATACTTGTAACTGGTAGTATAGTTCAACCACAGAAACACGCCTATATGAGCTTTTTTTCGCGAAAAAAAAATTGAAAATTCGAAATTTTTATAGTTTTTAGTTAAAAAACATAATTTCTTGATAATATGGCAACTTAGGTATTAAATTAAATTTACAAGAAAGAAAATCCAGAAAAGATCCAGTGGTTTTCAAAATTTTAGCAAAAAATCATTTTTTTTGGAAATTTTCAAAGTAAAATAACTCCGTTATTTAGGACTTACTTGAAAAACGATAAAAAGAAAATATATTTCTTTTATCGAGATCTACCACCACTTAAAATATTTGCACTTACTTCTAGGACACCCTGTATAATCTACTGGAATACGGTTTGATAACCAAGTCTATCAAATGTGTTGATAGAGAAATTTATGGAAACGTTTTATTCAAAAAATGTGTTTATTTTTTAATATTCATATTTTTAATTTTTTAAAAATCATAAGCTCTAGGCCCCCCTTGGCTCAACCCTAGGCCCCCTCTAGGCTGAATTGCTAGTTACGCTAATGACCTCGGATACCATTAAGTGTAATGTGTAATTCTAACGTAAGAAGACATTATTAAAATGCTATTCCTCTAATCTATCCTAACCTGTAACTTCGATTTAGACGTGTTAAGACCATTAACGAACGAAGAAAGATACTGACCACAGATAGGACGTTCCTTTCACCGAAACCCAGCGTCACAAATAAATCGTGAAAAAACAATTTGAAAAATGAGCGCCCACCTGGGTTAACATAGTGCTGTGGACACATTCCGACCCGAAGTTGGGTCGTTTGCGTTGACAGAACGTTTCGCTGTCATAATATATTATATTATTAGATGTAGTGGTTCGACATGGCCGTTGTAGTGCGTGGGTTTCTTCGACCACTTCGACAAAAAGAAATAATTCCATACGAGTATCGTCTTAAAAAAAAAGCAGTTTTATCTAGATGCCAGGGTTTGGTAGGAAACAGGTCTGAAACTACAGAGTTTGTCTTCAAATCAAATAAACAGTGATGAAAAATAGTTTATAAGAGAGTGATACTCTCTCCGCCGTCTCCATCTACAGAAAAAAAATAAACTGAACAGTGTCACAAATTACCTATAACAGATGCGAAAGAAAGCGACTGCATCGGAAACCGCTCGGCAAACCCCACACGCCTATTGAGTGGTGTAAATACACCAGTCGTTTAGTCCGGAAACCTATGCTGTGTCGTATTCGCTTGCTGGAATGACATAGTGCGTGGTTATATGTTTCTTTTTAAAAACTTATGCATTAAAGTTTACAAAAAATAAAGATTTATATAGTCGAAAAAAGTCCGATAGAACCAATAGAAAAGTAACTATTTTGTCACATCTTTAATTAAATTTTGTTAAATAAATTAATTTTTTATACTATAAATATCTTTTTTTTCCTAATCTCCTACGAACTGATATAATATGACGAGCAATCTATTAAATTACTGTGAGATTATATGCCTCGATAACATATTGGTGCAGATTATTTTCACCCAAACAAATAATAACCCAAACTATACATTGATGCGGATTGTCTATGAACTCTTTCTGAAGGTCACAGAAACCTGAACGCGTAATTCGGTGTTCTTTCGCATCTGTTGTAGTTAATTTGTGCCTTCACTATTATCATCGTCATCATCGGTCCTGTTCTCTGAAGAATCCCTGACTAGTCAGCGCGTTTCTTATTGGTTGAA